GCTTGCCTTGCATGCCTGAGGCCCTGGGTTCGATTCCTCAGCACCACATAAGCAAAAAGAAAAAAGCCAGAAGTGGCGCTGTGGCTCAAGTGGTAGATTCAGGTGTGTGTGCGCGTGCGCGCAAGTGAGTACCAGGGCCTTATACTCTCACTCGGTTGTTTTTTTTTTTTGTATGTGGGGCTTGAACTCCAGGCCTGAGTGCTGTCCCTGAGCTCCTTTGAGCAAGGCTAGCGCACCACCATTTTGAGCCATAGCTCCACTTCTGGTTTTTGAATGGTTAATTGGAGATAAGAGTTCCACAGGGACTTTCCTGCCCAGGCTGGCTTTGAACCACAATCCTCAGATCTCAGCCTCTTGAGTAGCTAGGATTACAGGTGTGAGCCACTGGTGCCTGGCTTCACTCAGGTTTTTCTTTTTTCTCCTGGTTGGTGCTCTACCACTTGAGCTATACTACCAGTTTGGCCTTTTGTGGATTAATTGGAGATCAAGTTGCCAGGGCTTTTCTTCCTGGGTTGGCATTGAACCTCGATCTTTATCTCTCCTGAATAGCTAAGATTACAGGAGTGAGTATATCTGGGATATTATAAACTAGGCTGGCTAGCAAATGACCCTGGCATGCCATGATCTGGGAGTAGAAGACTGGAAAACATGACCCCCAGCCACCCTTTTCCTGACCAGGATTCTGGTTTGTCACAGTGTTCTGGACCAGCTGCTCAGCCATGATTAATTAGCCAAAGGGAGCTCTTCTGCAGTATACAGGAAGTGTTTTATGTTCTGTGGCTACTGCCACCAACCACAGCTTTAGTTAAATCTGAAGTTTAATCACCACAGTGCTGTTCTGTCATCACTTTCCTGATGGCTCTATCTTGGAAGGACAGTGGTGGGGATAGTGTTTCAGGAGAAGAGATGAGAACTTAAAGTAAGGACAATAGATACTGGTGGTTTGAGGGTCACATAGACAGAGCATATATAGGATTCTTGGCCTTAAGGAACTCATTTTTTTTTTCTTCTTTTGGTGGGACTGATGTTTGAACATAAGGCCTTGCATTTGCTAGGCAGGCTCTCTACCACTTGAGTCACGTCTATTCTCTGGCTCTCCCAGGGTTTTTATTGGAGATTTCAGACTTCCAATCTTGTACATGTTACAGATCATGAGAGTAAAGCTCTCAAATAAAAAGTACATACAACTGTCAAAGTAACCGAGATGAGGCAGGATCCTTTGTGACTGGGGAGGTCAAAGAAACTTCATGGAGAGGAAGGACTGAAGAGGAATCTTTTTGTTTCTGTTGTTGTTGGTCGTGGGGCTTGAACTCTGGGCCTGGGCACTGTCCCTGAGCTCTTCAGTTTAAGGCTAGCACTCTACCACTTGAGCCATAGTGCCACTTCTGGTTTTCTTTCTTTTTTTTTTGGAGGGGGGGGTCCGGTCGTGAGGCCTGAACTCTGGGCCTGGGCGCGCGCTGTCCCTCAGCTCTTCAGCTAAGGGTAGCGCTCTACCACTTGAACCACAGCGCCACCTCCGGCTTTTTTCTTTTTGCTTATGTGGTGCTGAGGAATCAAACCCAGGGCCTCAGGCATGCAAGGCAAGCGCTCTACCACTGAGCCACCTTCCCAGCCGCGCCACTTCTGGTTTTCTGGTGGTTTATTGGAGATAAGAGTCTCATGGATTTTCCTGCCTGGGCTAGCTTTGAACCTCGATCCTCAGATCTCAGCCTCCTAAGTAGCTAGGATTACAAGTGTGAGCCATGACCCACAGTTTGAAGAGAAATGTTAAAGGCAGAAGAGAATTGATTAGAGGGCCTGCCAGACAGGACAAAGTAACTCCTGGTACCAGAAAAGCTGGTGGAGGGAACAGCCTAAGTTAAAGTTTGGAGAGAGCAACAAGAAACTGAAGCATCCTGAGAATGGTCAGGAGGTACAAGAGGTATATGTCGGCCAGGCGCCGGTGGCTCACACCTGTAATCCTAGCTACTAAAGAGGCTAAGATCTGAGGATCACAGTTCAAAGCCAGTCAGGGCAGGAAAGTCTGTGAGACTCATCTCCAATTAACTACCACAAAACTGGAAGTAGCGTTGTGGTTCAAGTGGTAGAGCACTCGCCTTGAGCTGAAGAGCTGAGGGACAGCACTCAGCCCAGAGTTCAAGCCCCACAACTGACCCCTCCCCCCAAAAAAGAGGTATATGTGGCTGGGGACAGGGTAGAAAAGCGGTGGTTCTGATCTGGGAATAACATGAGCACTAGGCTGGCCAGATGTGGCTGAGAAGGATCTTAAATGCCCGGCAAGTTGTAGAGAACTGCTTTGTTTGGTAGTATTTTATTGTTTTGTTCTTTTTGACAAGGTTTCACTATGTAGACCGGCCTTCAACATGAGATCCTCCTGCCTCAGTCTCCTGAGAGCAGGGATTACAGGTGTAAACCATCATACCCATGCTGAACGTTTTTAAACTGCACATAGGACCCTGCATACCTTCCCGGCATCTCTCTCTCCATGCCATCAATCAGTGCTGTGGTTCGAAGCACTGGGACATTCTTCACACGCCCTGTCTTCCTCTACCCTGCCTCAGTCCTTTCCCTGGGGTCTCAAGTTCAACATCTCTTCCTACAAGAAGCTTCGGAGTCTGCTCCCTTACACCCCGGGCGGGTCAGTCCCCTCTCCCCTCCTTTCAACGCTGCCACGTTCACTGTTTGAGCCCAGATAACGGTGTGGTCATTATTCCTTTGTGTGAACTGGAGGCTACTCTGTGAACTCTGAGGCTAGAGACAATGCCTGGCTTATGGTGTGTGCCCAAGAATTCACATGGGGCAGTAAAGTGGGGGTGCGTGGAGGGCTGGCCTGTGCCCCCATCCCGCCCACCCCCACCCCCGCCCTGCTCAGGTGCCTCCAGGTCCCTCCCGGGCTGTTAAGCCTCTTGAGAAAGGACACTGGAAAATTACAAGTGTCAGCAAGTTGCGAGTTGGTAGGAAACGTGCCTTTAAACGATCAGTCTCTGATTGTCACAGCAAGCCATGACACACAGAACCAGATGCAACCACTTCCCCCTCCTCGGAGCCCCGGGGAATGGATGGAGCCCAGGCTGCTTCCAGACGCGCCCGGGAACTGGGAGAGGAGCCACGAGGCGGAGGGTTACGTCTCGGAACTATTTAGCAGGAACCCTCCGCTCAGCCCTCTCACCGAATGCTGCTCCTCAAGACCACCAGGGGGCGAAATCGCACCGCATCCCGGGTCTTGGGCGGGCTCTGTCGGCCTGACCGGGTCGCAGAGACCGATGGGAATTGCAGTCCTAGCGTGGCAAAGGTGCGAGCGCGCGCGGTGTGCTTTGGAAGTTGTAGTCTCCAGCGGAGAGGCGGGAAGCGCTTTTGCGTTTTCCAGGTTGATCCCTGGAAACTACAACTACCAGGAGGTCAGTGGGTTCTTGCGGAAGGTTCTCGTCTCGGTCGGCGAGACGTCTCAGGCTGTCTCTTGAGGGCATCACCTTGACTGGTAAGTGTGGTGGAAGCTTCCATTCTGGACTGGACTGTAGCGAGACTTTTTTTTCGTAATTCGGCCTCTCTGGCTTGGGGTCTCCTGAACTCTCAATCCCAGGCACTGGCTCTTGCATTAAACTTCAAAGTAACGCACGTTGCTCTTTGATCTTCGTCCTCTCTGTTTCCTCTTCTGACCGTGTCCACTGCACCCTAAGCCTCGGGGGGCCGCCTCGCTCGTCCCACTGCGCCCCCGGACCTCCCCCCCCCCCCCCCCCCCCCCCCCAGCCGCACAGCTCACCTCTCCCGTGTCCTGCACACTCCGTGTGCTCCTCCGACTCCTGCTGCCCCGGTCTTCATTCCTTCTTCCCGGTGCCCTGAACTTGACCTCGGCCAGCCGTCGTGGCCTCTTGCTCTCCGGGGACGGACTCACTTTCTGCCTGGATACAGTGGAGTTGGGCATCGCTGTTGGGGTGAGGTCGTGCTATGAGAGAGCTTGCAGGCAACAGGATTTATGCTTCTGACATGGGCTAGTGTCCTGGAAAAGCCTTGTGGGGGTGCTTTTCTAGCGCTGCCACCTTATTGCGCAAACCTGTCCTTTGAGCTTTTGATATCTCCATCTGAGACCAGGGCGCTATTATTACCCCACTTCCTTCAGAGACCAAAGATTGAGCCACACCAATGAGCCTGTATTCTTTAGGGAGGTTTATCTGGTGGCTCTAATCTTAGATGCAGCCCAGATACCACAGGGGTGGGGAGGATGGGGGAAGTTTGGAGTGCAAGCAGCAGGACAGCTGACTGTAAGTCCTGGTCATAACCTTTAAAGGATCACATCCAATGAAACTGGAGTTATAAAAACTGTGTACATGGGCTGGGAATGTGGCTTAGTGGTAGCATGCATGAAGCCCTGGGTTCAATTCCTCAGAACCACATAAACAGAAAAAGCCAGAAGTGGCACCGTGGCTTAAGTGGTAGAGTGCTAGCCTTGAGCAAAAGACAGTACCCAGGTCCTGAGGTCAAGCCCCAGGACTGGCAAATACCTACACACACACACACACACACACAACAAAAACTGTACACTCTGTTCATGCATGCATATCTGAATGAAGGAAAGGAACTTTCCTCATCTGCACTAGAGCATGTCAAACCTTGCTGGTCAAACACATAGAGCTTTTAAAAAAGTAGTTGGGGCCAGGTACCCATGGCTCACACCTATATGCTAGTTATTCAGGAGGCTGAGATCTGAGGATCACAGTTCAAAGCCAGGCTCTAATTGACCACAAGAAGTACGCATACAAAACACTCCAATTGAGATCAGTAGTGCACAGTTATAATTGTACCAACTCAAGAGGCTGAGATCTAAAGGATGGTTAGAAAAGTCTATTAGACTCCGTCTCCAAAATAACTAGTAAAAAGCTGAACTGGAGATGTGGCTCAAGTGATAGATCACCAGCTGAACAACCAAGCCACAAGCATGAGGTCCTGAGTTCAAACCCTAGTACCACCAATAGTTGTAGGGCCTGAACTCTGGCTTGGGAACTGTCCCTCAGCCCTTCAGCTCAAGGCTAGCTCTCTACCATTTGAGCCACAGCCCCACTTCCGTTGGGTTTTTTTTTCTGCTTTTGTGGTGCTGAGGAATCGAACCCAGGGCCTCATTCATGCGAGGCAAGCACTTTACCAGCAAGCCACCTTCACACTTGGTCTCTGGGAATGGAGGAAAATAAAGTTTCCAAGCCAACTGGACTATGGATTCAGACACTCATGATCTAGATTCCACATAAACAACTGGTTGTGGTGGTCACTGACTTGATCTGTGTCAGCCTAAGACTGGATTCCAGATGAGGGATAGTGACAGTGCTCAGAGATGAGAGGAGAAAATGGGAAGACTTGAGAAAGCTCCCAAGAGGACTCAGAAATCTCACTGGAACGGATGGAGAGGCTTCTGCACAGGCACTACCATAATTGTTGAGATGAGATGAACAAAGGAAGGTAGAGATCCCTGGACTGATTTTTCTGGAAAATATCATTTATGTGAGCCTAGGGAACACCAGACTCCTTTTTATGTTAGCCTTACTCTGGCCAATTATCTTCTTTAGCTTTTATTTGTTTCTAGACAAATTTATCTGATCATCCTTTTAGAATTTGCTCTTCTGATTGTCAACTTCCACCTGTCTGGTCTAAAAGAAAACCCTAAAGAATCTTGCTGTAGCTGGGCGCTGGTGGCTCATACCTGTAATCCTAGCTACTCAGGAGGCTAAGATCTGAGGATCTCAGGTCAAAGCCAGCCCAGGCAGGAAAGTCCATGAGACTCCTATCTCCAGTAAACCACCAGAAAACCGGAAGTGGCACTGTGGCTCAAGTGGTAGAGCGCTTGCTTTGAGCTGAAGAGCTAAGGGACAGTGCCCAGGCCCAGAGTTCAAGCCCCAAGTCCCATCACACACACACACACACACACACACACAATCTTATGTCATCATTCTACTTAATGTTGGAAGATAGTAAAACAAACCATTTTTTTTTTCTTTTTGTCGGTCCTGGGGCCTGACCTCTGGGCCTGGGCCTGACCTCTGTCCCTCAGCTCTTCAGCTCAAGGCTAGCGCTCTACCACTTGAGCCACAGCATCACTTCTGGCTTTTTTCTTTTTGTTTATGTGGTGCTGAGGAATCGAACCCAGGGCCTCATGCATGTAAGGTAAGCGCGCTACCACTGAGCCACCTTCCCAGCCCAAACCATTTTCTTTTTACTATCCATTTCACTCCTTCATTTTGTTTTTCTAAAGCTCTTCTTAGCTCTTCCCTCTCCATTGATCCTACATCCAGTCTGTTATCAAATATGCTACTGTTTTTGCTTTTTTGAAATCAACAGCTATTTCTTGGTTATTTGCCAAGAGCCAATATACTATAGTAGGTGTTTTAAATGTATTTGTTCTATTTATCTTCACAGCAACCCCTGAGAATGAATAGATTTGCGTTATATACATAGAGAATCAGACTTAGAAGAGGTCAGGTAACTTGCCCAGACTAGGTGGCAAAGGAGTTAGGCCTTCTTTGGGTGAGTCTTTCCATGCGTTTTTCTGATTTAATTTCTTTCTTACCCACCACCTCACCTAGAGCAGATTCTGACACCTTTGCCTAGTTATTCAGGGACTGCCATGTGGGCCTTGTCACAGCCTCCTCTCCCCGGTCCATCACTAACGGCCTCTGTTTCTCACATGTCCTTCCTTCATACCCTGCCTTTGCTCACACTTTCTTTGACTTGACAATTGGCCTTTCTCATTTTCCCTTGCCATCTGTGCCCAAGCTTGACGCACATTCTCTCACTCTCTGTGCCCAAGCTTGGGAGCCCTCTCTCTCTTCAGAACTCCTGTGGTATTTTATCTGACTCTTTGCTTATACCCGTTAGGACTGCAGCTGCTCTGCTGTCATGTGGTTGACGTGTGTCTCATGCATATGCCTTCAGCAACACAGGAAAAAGGTCAGAGGCAGTGACTAAGTCTAAACTGATTTAGTCACTGACTGCCTCAGACTGTAGCTGCTTCTTTAAAAGAAGTGGGCTAATTTTAACTTTTGTTTCAGTGAAACAAAAGGAAGGAGGGAGGTGCATAGTAAAAAAAATGATTTGTTTTATCATCTTCCAACATTAAGTAGCATGATGACAGTGGGATTCTTTGGGGTTTCCTTTAGACCAGACAAGTGGAAGTTGACAATCAGGAGATCTGTGGATAGTAACAGGAAGGGAGGGAGGGAGGAAAAAAGGAAAGGAGGAGTGAAAAGAGGAAGGAAAAAAGGGAGAGGAGGGAGAGAGGAGGGAAGAAAAGTAAAAAAGAGGAAAGGGAAGAAGAGAAGGGGAAGGGAAGAAAGAGGAGAGGAGGATAAAAAAGGCTGTGGATGTAGCCCAATCAATAATAGAGCACTTTCCTAACATACAGTAGGTCTTGGGTTCACTCGCCAATATCCCTAAAATTAATAATTAATGAACTGTCTGACATGATGGTTTATAGCTATAATCTCAGCTACTCTGGAGACAAGAGCCAAACGATTTTTTTGCGAGACTTGAATTCAGGGCCTAGACACTGTCCCTGAGCTCTATTGCTCAAGGCTAGTGCTCTGCCACTTTGAGCCATGGCTCCACTTCTGGCTTTCTGGTGGTTAATTGGAGATAAAAGTCTCACGGACTTTCCTGCCCTGGCTGGCTTTGAACAACAGTCCTCAGATCTCAGCCTCCTGAATAGCTAGGATTACAAGCATAAGCCACCAGTGACCAGCGAGGCCGAATGATTTTGAGCTGGAGTCCATCCTGGGCAAAGTTAGTGAGACCTTATCTCAAAAACAAAATAAAGCCAGGCACTGAGGGCTCACGCCTATAAACCTAGCTACTCAGGAGGCTGAGATCTGAGAACCAGGGTTCAAAGCCAGCACAGGCAGGAAAGTCTGTGAGATTCTTATCTCCAATTAACTATCCAAAACCAGAAGTGACACTGTGGCTCAAAGTGGTAGAGTGCTATTCCTGAGCAAAAATTCTCAGGGACAGTACCTAGTCCCCGAGTTCAAGTCCCACAAACAATACAAATGAATGAATAAATAAGTAAAGGGCTAGAGGTATAGCTCCACTGGTAGACTTCTTCCCTAGCAAGTATAAGATCCCAAATTCAACCTCCAATACCACAGACAAAAGTGAGTAAAATTAAATAATTGTTCTGCTTGTGACATTGAGAGGCTCATTGGATCTCTCAGGAACTTGGTTTGTCTGTCAGTGAAGCACATACCTGACCATGGGGAGGACTGGCAGAAACCATGTCTAAGGTCTCTTCTTGCCCAGGCATGCTTTGACAAGCTCTGATCCCTCCCAGAGCATCTTAAAGCAGGCAGAATAATGTGATAATAATTAATCATGTGGACCCAGAACTCAATATCCATTTTAGATGCCTTTAGTTGCAAGCAATAGAAATCTTAGTTCTGGAGTTGGGGAGTAGGAAGACTGTGGTATGAGGCCCACTCATCAAAAAAAAAAAAAAAAAAAGCGAGACCCTCCTCTTCCCATCTCAATTGATAAGCCAAGCATGGTGGCATGTGCCTATAACCTCTAGTACATGGGAGGTATAAAGCCATCCCATCCCCCAAACTAATGCAAAAATGGAGTGTAAAGTGGTAGAGTGTACATTTAGCAAGCATGAGGCCCTGAGTTCAAACCCCAGTACTGCCCCCAAATCCAAAACACCCTCCCCAAATAAAGCTGTTGGTTTAAACAATAAATTGGTAGGACTAAGATAACTAAAAGACTAGGAGTGACTTTCTTCTTGAGCAGGATCAGTCATGAAGATGACAGAGCCTGGGTTTGTCACCCATCGGCAGAGTAACTGGGGAAAGTTATTGAACTTTTCTCTGCCTCAGTTTCCTCATCTGTAAAATAGGTCTTGGCACTGGCTATCACAGAGAGTTTTAAGGCAGTGAAATGAGATGATGTATGTGAGATTCTTGGTACAGTGTGGACAGGTAAGCGGGCCCTGGTGAGGGCCAGGCCTGCGTAGACGTCTCTACAGCACTTGCTGCCATGCCTGGCATGTGATAGGGTTGCATAAGTGCTTGGTAGTAGGTTTTGTGGCATATGAAAGTTCTGTCTCTTCTTCACCGCCATCTTCTTACTCCATCAATGGTGGGGGCAGGGGAGGAGGATGGGAAATGCAGCCCTAAACATTGCCAAGTGAATGATATGCATGATTCAGTGAGTGACAGGCCACGGAGGATGTGGTGATGAGGGCGGAGAGTGGGGGAGGGAGTGCTGACAAGGGGCACGTGACCCTTATAACAAAGGAAACTAGGAAGAAACCAGCAAGAGGCTGTTCTGTGTTCCACCCTCCAGCCCTCAAGTTCAGAACCACGCTGACACTTGAGTCCATCCACTGGCAATGCCATGGGGACCGGCCAGTCTGTGAGCTTTCCACCCATCTCCGGCCCCTACCACGTAGGCTGTGGGGATGTGATGGAAGGTCATAGTCTCCAGGTATGTGAACCCAGCTCCACCCCTGCACAGCTCCATTGCTTCTGCCTGCTGCCCGCTCTGGGCTTCAGTGAGCGTATAGGTACTGAGTAGGAGGAATTGAGGGCAGATGCTGACCCTGGAAGGCTTTCAGTGAGCAGTGAGCCATGTGCCATGGGTGGAAAGATGATGATCTCCTCTCTGCCTTCACCTAGTTCCCTCCTGCTCCATTCTGAACTTTTCTTCCACCTGCCCCTAGGTTTTACTCTGCTAGCTCTTGGGTTCCTCTTTCCCTTGTAAGAGGCTCCCACTTCTTGTAACCCCTCATCTCCTCCCCTGTAAAATGAGTATGCTACTGCTTCCTGAGAGCCAGCCCTGGAGGACCAGTCTGGGTGACCCACTGATGCCACCCTGTTTGGCACAAGGGCAAATCTTAACTTTGCTAGACTCTTCCAAGCCTGGGCTCAGGACCAGATTGAAATCTTTCAATGGCCCAAGCACTTAAAATATTTTGGTGCCCTGCCAAGATGTAATTCAAAAATATAGTTAACTATTTGTAATAACACAAGCTTTCCATGTATGTTCAAAAGAAGATTGCTTCTCTTTGGATTTTCTAAATGTAAAGTTTAGGTATGTTGGCAGGGCGCTGGTGGCTCACACCTGTCATCCTAGTTACTCAGAAGGCTGAGATCTGAGGATCTAAGTTTGAAGCCAGCCAAGGGAGGAAAGTCTGTGAGACTCCAATTAACCACCAACAAGCTGGAAGTGGAGCTGTGGCTCAAGTGGTAGAGTGCTAGCCTTGAGCAAAAGCTGAGGGACGGCATCCAGGCCCTGAGTTCAAGCCCCAGGACTGGCACACACAGAGAAAAGTTTACGTATGTTGGAAGAAGCCTAAGTTTCTTCATGTTGGTGTCCTGATTGTCTTGTACCCCAGACACCTGATGAATATGTCTACCGGGAGACCCAATAGTGCTTTGTCTTCTCACTGAGCAGCTGCTCTCTTTGCTACAGGGGAGCTTCTTTCGACTCTTCTACCCTTGCCAAGAGGTGGAGGAGACCCCAGAGCAGCCTCTCTGGATTCCTCGATACGAGTACTGCACTGGCCTGGCTGATTACCTGCAGTTTAACAAGCGCTGGGTGGGGTTGCTGCTCAACCTGGTTGTGGGTAAGGCTGGCCTGGCTACAGATGCTTGCCCAGTTGCATGGTTACATCCCTAGGAAACACCCCGAGAGGATATCCAGGCATATACAGCCATCACTTAGTGGGTAGTGTGGGAGAATTGGGAGAGAATCACATAGATAAGAGCTTTGGACATTGAGGTAGACTCACTCTCCAGACTTTATGATTTACTAGAGCAAGTTACTTACCCCATCTAAGGGAGATCTTACTTACCCTGCACAGCCACTTGTACAACACTTGAGATATCAACTGGGGGCAGAAGTGGAAGCTATGACTCCTTTATCCAGTGTGCTTTAATCCTTACTCTGAATCAGCTGTTGTATACATTTGATCATTTTTCTTTTTTCTTTTTCTGGTAGTGCTGGGGATCAAACCCAACTAGGCATGCTAGAAAGCACCACTGAGCTACACCCCCAGCCCCTAGATCAGACATTCTAAGCTTACAGAGAGCATAGGCTCCTACAGTTCTCTCTCTGATCCTACTGTCTTCTGGGTAGGATCACTGACTAAATCATCCACGCCCAGGAACTGTACCCACAGTCTTGGCATCTCAGGGATCTGCCTTCAGTTTATTCAGTATTGTCCTGGAGATGGAACCAAGGGCCTCCTGCATGCTGGGCTACATGGAGCTATACACCAGCCCTGTTCCTTTGGTATTATCTAATTCATTCATTTATTTTTCATGGTATTCACTCTCCCTAGGGAAGTGAAGAGGAGAGAGTAAATGATGATGATGGCCCTGGCTGGAGCAGGGGTGACTGGTGATTCTCCAGAGGAGAGAAATCACCAATGCTTCCCCACACCCAATGCTTGTGTGTAGACTGCCTTTGGGATTACACAACCAGGGCAGCCAGAGATTCTATACCCATGTCTCTATACCAGGATCTTGTCGCCTGCCTGTTAGCTGGAATGGCTCCTTTAAGACAAAGGACTCTGGATATCCTTTGATCATCTTCTCCCATGGTTTGGGAGCCTTCAGGTAAGAGTTTCTATCATATTCTTTGCCTAGTGACAGCTGCTGAGATGTATCTTATTCTCTAAGGGCAGAATAACAGACATCTCCATCTGCTAGCTGTCTTATCTGCCATCTGCCTCCTGCGATAACCCTGGGTCCCCCTTCTCTGGAAGGCCTTTCTCAAGCAGCCTTTTCTTCTCAGCTTCCAGCAGCTATATAAGTATACATGTCTCATTGTCTTCCTCTATTGCAACCCCAAAGTACTAGGAAGAGTTTAAGAGAAATTTTATTAAATCTATGTTGTGCATCCACTCTGTGTGGTATTGACAGGAGAATAAGACAGGCTCATTCCTTGTGCTCACTGAGCTAGCGGCCTAACCTCCAAACCCCAACCCTACCCCATACCTGTGTCCTGTGTGAATGGAAGAAGGCTTTGGATTTTAGCATCTGCCAGATGAGAATGCCTCTCCCATAGGATGACTTCTGAGGCTTGGGCTGGATTGACGCCTACTTAGGCATCACCTTGTCAGTTCTCTCCATTTCTCCACATGGAGGGACATAGCGATGCCAGACTCCAAGATCTCTTTCACCAGTTTGGGAATAATTTAGTGTCCATTCAGGATTCTTCCCATGATTTCCTCTTAGTTTCTATCCCTTGGTGTGTTATATGGCTTAGGAGTTATAGTACAGGTATTCATAGTTAAGCTTGTGAATGCTTTGTCTGTTTTATCTATCAACATCTATGGCTAGTTTATGTCTCAGAGTGTGTCACATATCTTAGAGGCTTCCCCAGTCTCAAACCATTGTCCACCCTGTAGCCAGGGATTGCATGTGTGTGTGCGTGCGTGCTTGTGCATGTGTGTGTGTGTGTGTGTATGCGTACGTACTGTGGGGTTTGAACTCAGGACCTGGGCCCTGTCCCTGAGCTTTTTTTCCTCAAGGCCAGAGCTCTACGACTTCGAGCCACAGCTCTATTTCTGATTTTTCAGTGGTTAGTTGGAGAGAAGAGTCTTACGGACTTTCCTGCCCAGACTGGCTTTGAACCGTGATCCTCAGATCTCAGCCTTCTGAACCACCAGTGCCTAGTTGGATTGCTATTTTAAAATCAAATACTATCTTGTCATTTCATCACCTTCAATAGTGCCTGACATATAGGAGATGCTCAGGAAATATTTGTTGATTAAGTGAATGAATTGAGTGAATGAATGTTCCTCTTCTAATTAAAACTTTCAGTAACTCTTGAAGTTAATCCCACTTAAAAAAAATTGTATGTGTGCCTGGTCCCAGCAGGTCTACTGAATAAACCTACCCCTTACCTGAAAAAAAAAAAAATGTATGTGTACTGGTTCCAGGCTTTGTCCCTTAGTTTTTTTCCAATCAAGGCTGGTACTCTACTACTACTACTTTTTTTTTTTTTTGCTGGTTGTGGGGCCTGAACTCTGGGCCTGGGCGCTGTCCCTCAGCTCTTCAGCTCAAGGCTAGCGCTCTAACACTTGAGCCACAGTGCCACTTCCGGCTTTTTCTGCTTATGTGTTGCTGAGGAATCAAACCCAGGGCCTCATGCATGCAAGGCAACGCTCTACCACTGAGCCACCTTCCCAGCCCCAGTACTCTAATATCTGAGCCATACTTCTACTTCCAACTTAATTAGTGGTTAATTGGAGATAGCCAAGCTTGTCGTTCCTCTTTCTCCCTCTTTTGTATAATCAATTCCAGATTACCTTCAAGGTCCTAGTTTGGATGCCACTTGGATTTTGTTGTTGTTTTGGCATTACTGGGATTTGCACTCAGGGTTTTGAGCTTGCTAGGCAGGAATTCTACCACTTGAGTCACACCTCCAGCTCCCACTTTGTGTTTTTGAGGCAAGGTCTCACTGTGTAGCCCAGACAGTTCTTGGATTCACAATCCTTCTGACCAGCCTCCCAAGTGCTTGGATTCTAGGCATAATACACCACCTCTGGCCTTGATGTCACTTCTTTAGGCCCATCCTGACCCCTGTATTAAGTTTTCAGTGTCTTCTGTGCTTCTGGATATTTTAACATAATAGCACATAAGTTTTTTTTTATTTGTGGATTATTATTTTATAACTGCCTTCCCAGTAGCTTATATGCCTAAAAAGTAATACTTTCCCAAATATTTATCTGTCTATCTATCTGCTGTGTTTTTCTGGGTTTTCATTCATCCAGAAGATATCTATTGAGCACATGTTCAGTGCCAGCTCCTTGCCATAAGATAAACAAACCAAGCAAGTCTTGTGGGCTGGAGGAACTGGGACATAGGCTTCTGTACCTGGTCAAAAGTGGAAAGTAGATGTAGAGATGAGGCCAGAAAAGAAAGCAGATGATTTCAGTGTTACATCCTCTTTTTTTTTTTTTTGAGACAAGATTTTGCTATATAGCCTAGGCTGGCCTCAAACTCTCAATCTTCCTGCCTTAGCCTCCCAAGTGTTAGAGTCACTGGAGAGGATTCAGCTTCAGTGTTGGAGTAGGCAGGTGGGGATGTATGTCTTTGGGCTGAGTGGTAGGCTCTGAATGGCAGACAGTCTCAAGGTAACACAGTTTGAACTGAGCTGGGAAAGGATCAGAAATCACTGTGCCTCTTCAGTCCAGTTTACTGCCTCCTCTGGAAAAATGTAAAAAAAAAACTAAAGGAAACTTAAGAAATTGATCTTCCTGGCTGGGAATGTGGCTTTGTGGTTGAGTGCTTACCTAGCATGCACGAAGCCCTGGGTTTGATTCTTCAGTACCACATAAACATCAAAAGATGGAAGTGGCACTGTGGCTCAAGTGGTATTGTGCTAGCCTTGAGCAAAGCTCAGGGACAGTGCCCAGGCCCTGAGTTCAAGTCCCAGGACTGGCACAAAAAAAAAAAAGAAAGAAAAGAAAAAATTGACCTTTCCGTATCATGGAGGACTTTGGAAGGTGTATTTCACATAACGTGTCCAAAGAGAGCCAGGCACTGGTGACTCACGCCTATAATCCAAGAGGCTGATTCAAAGTCAGCCTAGCCAGGAAAGTCCCTGAGAGTCTTATCTACAATTAATCATCAAAAAAGGCCGGAAGTGAATCTGTTGCTCAAGTGGTAGAGCATTAGTCTTGAGCAAAAGAAGCTCAGGGATAGTGCCCAGGCCCTGAGTTCAAACCCCAGGACCAACACACACATAAAGTCCAAATAATACTGACTAAAACATGTTAAAGTTTATTTTTCATGGATGCCTGCTAAAGGCAGGAAGATCACGAGTTTGAGGCCATTCTGGCAACATGTCAAGAACCTGTCTTAAAAAGAGAAGAAAAGTTTCTGATGAAAAATAGCTAGATGTAGGGCTGGGAAGGTGGCTCAGTGGTAGAAGCGCTTGCCTTGCATGCCTGAGGCCCTGGGTTCAATTCCTCAGCACCACATAAGCAAAAACGAAAAAAGCCGGAAAGTGGCGCTGTGGTTCAAGTGGTAGAGCGCTAGCCTTGAGCTGAAGAGCTGAGGGACAGCGCCCAGTCCCAGAGTTCAGGCCCCACGACTGGACCCAAAAAAAAAAAAAATAGCTAGATGTAAGGAAGTTACCAGAGAACCAGACTTTCATATAATTTTCTGTACCATTTTTTGTGGCTTTCATTTCTAAAGTTATCTCATGACCCAGGGTGTCTGCTTTAGTTCTAGTCATTATATCTACACCTTAGGCAATAACATTTTCCCTTTTTGCTGGAAGTTGTGTGTAACAACTGATTGCATCTCATTGGCTAGCGTTGGTTTGTCAGTTATTATAGTGTCTAGCTCCATGAAGTTCTGCAATCCTTGAAATGAGCCTGGTCCAAACTGGGATTATTACAAGTGTAAAATGTACGATAGATTTCAGAAAGTAGATATGAAAAGAACATAAAATATTTCAAACCCAATTGCCAGTAACTCACACCTGTCATCCAAGCTGCTCAGGAGGCTAGAGGATCTAGAGGATTACTATTTGAAGCCAGCCTAGTGAGACTCATCTCCAAGATAACCAGTAAAATTCAGGGTTGGCTAGAGGTATAGCTCAAGTGGTAGTTGCACAAGCAAGCCAGCCAAGTCAGCTCGAGTCTCTTAGCTCAAACCCCTATACTAGTTATAGAAAAAAAAAATCATAAATAAGCGAGGTAGAGTGGCAGACACTTGAGAGGCTGAGACAGAAAGATCAAAAGTTCAAGGCCAAAGGGATGGTAGGGGAAAAACAAAGGAGGGGGTAACACTGCTCGATAGGAAATGTACTTATTACCTTACTCATGTAACTGTAACCCCTCTGTACAGTATCTTTTTTTTTTTAGTATCTTTACAATAAATAATACATATTAAAAAAAAGTTCAAGGCCAGCTTAGACTATATAATGAATTCAGGCTGACTGAGACTATTTAATGAGACCCTATCTCAAAGAAGAAAAAAAAGAATAGAAAAAAAGTTGCTAATTTTAAACGTTTAGTTATCTTGAAATTACAGTAAGTTAAATACAGGTTGAACAAAATATAACAAGTATAAAAGGCTATCATAGATTAAATAAAATATATTATTAAGTTAATGTCTTTCTTTTATTTTTTTGTACTGACCCTGGGCCTTGAACTCAGGGCCTGGAAGCTGTCCCTGAGCCTTTTTGCTCAAGGCTAGCTCTCTACCACTTGAGCCACAGCTCCATTTCTAGCTTTTTTTGGTGACTAATTGGAGATAAGAGTCTCACAGATTTTCCTGCCCAGGCTGGCTTCAAACTGCAATCCTCAGATCTCAGACTCCTAAGCAGCTAGGATTATAGGCATGAACCACCAGCACCTTTCTTCTTTATTTTTAAAACATGTCTATTAGGTGTTGGTGATGTATGTAGCTCAGTGGTAGAATGTTTACCTAACATGAACAAGGCCCTGGGCTCAGTCTCATCATCTTAAAAGAAAAAAAAAATGGTACAGAAAGTTCCTTTTAAATTTAGCATATTTCTGTTCATCATATTGCACTAGCACTTAATCACACAGATTAACATAGTTGCAAGAGAGACTAGGAGATGTGGAATTTTGATGGCTTGGCAGTGTTAGCTGAAAATCAGATTCTCTTACTGAAGGGAAAGGAGAATGAATGTAGGGGTTTAGAATAGGCAGTCAGCAGATTCTGCCATATTCCTTTTTTTTTCCTGGAAAGCTGGAGCACAGACAAAAAGATTCATACATCAAATTGCAGATGAGTTGAATTATAAAGAAATATCCAGAGCTGGGCGTGGTGGGTCATGCCTATAATCCTAGCTACTCAGGAGGCTGAGATCTGAGGATCTCGGTTCAAAGCCAGCCTAGGTAGGAAACTCCATGAGACTCTTATCTCCAATAAACCACTAGAAAACCCGAAGTGGTGCTGTGGCTTCTTAAGCGGTAGAGCGCTCGCCTTGAGCTGAAGAGTGCAGGGACAGCGCCCAAGCCCAGAGTTCAAGCCCTACGGCCAACAAACAAAAAAAAAAAAAAAAAGAAAGAAATATCCAGTGTTCCTGTCTTTAAGGAGTTTGACCACTAATTTGGGAAACACAATATATCAAAATAGGATAATCAGAATGCCACTAGAACAGCTAGAATATATTGGGTGCAGGGCTGGACCGGCTCTGTGGGGTTAGAAGGCACCTTGTATTGATTTGCAAACATGTCCTGGACATGGACATGGGCACCGCTGGTGGGATGAGGTACAGCACCTGAGGAGGGTACTTTGCCCGTTAGCCTTTCAAGATGGCCACCAGCAGAGAGTGGGAGTGAAAGCTAATTATTCACTTCATTCCTTACCTCTGCTCTCTTGTGAATCTGTAGGACAGTGTATTCAGCCTTCTGTATGGAGCTGGCCTCCCGCGGCTTTGTGGTTGCAGTGCCAGAACACAGGTAAGGGACAACAATCACAATGAACTGTCCTCGGCTGGGTGCCTGCAGTGAGCTAGGCTAGTGTTCATCAGTGCATTATTTCTTTTTTAGAATTTTTGTTTTGGTTTTACAATGCCAGGTATCAAACACAGGGTTTCAGACATACTAGATAAATATTCTACCACTGAGCTACATCCCCAGCCACAGTGTATTATTCTTAATCTTCCCACAGTCATATAAAGTGAGCATTATACCCTTTCCCCCCATTTTCTTTTCTTTTTTTGGGGCTGTCTTAGAGCTTGAACTCTGGGCTGGGCACGGACTCTAAGCTTCTTTTGCTTTTACTCAAGGTTAGTGCTCTCCCACTTGAGCCACAGAGCCACTTCCAGCTTTTTCTGAGTAGTTTATTGGGGATAAGAGTCTCATAGACTTTCCTGCTTGGGCTTCTCTTCGAACAGTGATCTTCAGATCTCAGCCTCCTGAGTAGCTAGGATTACAGATGTGAGCTGGCACTGGGCTATTATACTCATTTTTATTTATTTTATTTATTTTTTTGTCATATTTATTTTTTGTCTTGGGAAAGAGGAAAATTAAGCTAACAAGTGTATTCTGTCTTCTCTCTGATGGCATGTGTATCTCAGGGACCAGTCAGCTTCAACCACCTATTTCTATAAGCAGCCCCTAGAGGAGAACCAGCCCACCGGTGAGTCACTGGAGGAGGAATGGATCCCCTTCCGCCGAATCGAGGAAGGGGAGAAGGAATTCCATATCCGGAATCCTCAGGTAGGCTGCGCCAGTTGAGTAGGGAAAGTTACTAAGCCTGCCTTCTCTACTATATTTGTCATGTTAGTGGGCTATCGCTATAGTGAAATACTTTAGAAAATTAACTCAGAAAAGCTTCATTTAGCTCATGTTTTTGAAGTTCGAGTCCCAGATCAGCAAACCTACTGTTTTGGGGGTCTGATGGCGAGGGGGGGTAGGGGGAATGGGGTCACTCACCTCTTGAATTAGGAAATAGAAGAAAGGAAAAGTTCAACATCCCACAATCCCCTTTTAGGGCAAGTCCTCAGTGGCTTAAAAGATCTCCTTCTAGGCTCCCTCTCCTAAAGGTTCGAGCATCCCCCAGTAGCACCTTTCTGGGGACCACGCCTTCTAACACATCCATGTGGGAGACAATTGCGTGCGTGTGTGTGTGTGTGTGTGTGTGTGTGTGTGTGTGTGTGTGTGTGTGTGTGTGTGTGTGTGTGTGGTGCTAGGGATTGTAGGGACTGAACTCAGGATCTCACTAGGCAGATGCTCTCTCACTTGGACCAGCTCTTATGGTTTTGGAGGAGGGAGGCAGTTGTGGGGTTTGAACTCAGAACTCATTTATACTTGCTAGGCAGATGCTCTGTCACTTGAGCCATACTCTAGTCTCATAAACAAGACTTTTTTTTTGGGTAGGGGGGTTTCCAGTCGTGGGGCCTGAACGCTATCCCTCAGCTCTTCAGCTCAAGGCTAGCACTCTACCACTTGAGACACAGTGCCACTTTCAGCTTTTTTCTTTTTTGCTTATGTGGTGCTGAGGAATCGAACCCTGGGCCTCATGCATGCAAGACAAATGCTCTACCACTGAGCCACTTTCCCAGCCCTCATAAACAAGACTTTTAACTAACCTCTTTCTCTCCCTCCCTCTGTTTCTCTTTCACGCTTGTGATACTAGGGGTTTGAACTCATGGTCTCCTCTTGCTAGGCTGACAAGATACCACTGAGCCACACCCCCAGTGCCCTCTCTGAAAATTTTAGTCATAGCACATCTGCCATTCCATGGAATAAATGGGGTAGTGATCAGGACTCTTAAAATTGTCAGTGGGAGAAATCCAACTTAAGCTTGCATAGGTGAAAAGGGGAGCTGACTGGCTCATCTAAGAGGGCTACAGGAGGGACAAGACCACTGGAGCCAGCCAGCCACTGATGGCTCACACCTGTAATCCTACTCCAACTCCAGAGAACCACCAGCAAAAACAGTCTGGAGGTGTGGCTCTCTCTAGTGTTAGAGCCTCGGTTAAAGAAGGGAGCTGATGGGGCTGGGAAGGTGGCTCAGTGGTAGAGCGCTTGCCTTGCATGCATGAGGCCCTGGGTTCGATTCCTTAGCACAACAGAAGCAGAAAAAGCTGGAAGTGGTGCTGTGGCTCCAGTGGTAGAGCGCTAGCCTTGAGCTGAAGAGCTGAGGGGCAGTGCCCAGGCTCAGAGTTCAGGCCCCACGACTGGCAAAAAAAAAAAAAAAAGAAGGGAGCTGAATGAATACGGAGCCTCAGTCAAACCCTGGTACTGTCAGAATCTTGAGGGATTAATGGTCTGAGGAGGGATGCCAAGGTGAAAGCTCTGACCAGCAACGCAGTGTTAGATTAGAATGGGGTGGTGCTCAGAGAGTTAAGAGAACAGGGCATTGGTTGTTAGGCAGACAAAAATAACTGATGTGTGTTATAAGTAGACAAGCAGAACCCAGTTCTGAAGTGTTAATAAGAACACCCTAGCCAGGCGCCGGTAACTCACGCCTATAATCCTAGCTACTCAGGAGGCTGAGATCTAAGGATGGAGGTTCAGAGCCAGCCTGGGCAGGAAAGTCTGTGAGCCTCTTATCTCCAATAAACCACTAGAAAACCTGAAGTGGTGCTGTGGCTCAAGTGGTAGAGCGCTAGCCTTGGGCTGAAGAGCTGAGGGACAACACTCAGGCCCAGAGTTCAAGCCCTACGACCGGAAAAAAATAAAAAAGAACACCCTTAAAATTTATTTTGTTTTCGGGGGCTGGAAAGGTGGCTCAGTGGTAGAGTGCTTGCTTTGCATGAATGAAGCCCTGGGTTCGATTCCCTAGCACCACATAAGCAAAAAGAAAAAAAGCCAGAAGTGGCGCTGTGGCTCAAGTGGTAGAGCACTAGCCTTGAGCTGAAGAGCTGAGGGACAGCACCCAAGCCTAGAGTTCAGGCCCCACGACCAGACCCAAAAAAAAAAATTATTTTGTTTTCAAAATGCTATAACAGCTGGGCATTGGTGGCTCACGCCTGTAATCCTAGCTATTCAGGAAGCTGAGATCTGAGGATTGCAGCTCAAAGCCAGTCTGGGCAGGAAAGTCTGTGAGTCTCATATCTCCAATTAAGCGTCAGAAAACTGGAAGTGGACCTATGGTTCAAAGTGGTAGAGGGCTAGCCTTCAGTGAAAAAGCTCAGGAACAGCTCCCAAGCCCTGAGTTCAAGACCCACAGCCGACCAAAAAAAAAAAAGCTGTAATGTACATTGTCTCACTTAGTCATTCTAACAGCCCTATAGGTAAGTAGGTAGAGTCTGAACGGAGCTAATTCCATCATGCCATTTGGTGGTATGTATGTGAGCTACAGAGCCCTGCAGTGCTTGCTGGGATGTGGTGGCAAATTCCTCCCACATCTGCCCCAGTCATGTGGATGGGCACTGTTCTCACTGGATAGCTGTGGAGTGCCTCAGTTCCTACTGGACTATGTTGCAGGTGCACCAGCGGGTGAGGGAGTGCATGCAGGTGCTGAGGATCCTGCAGGACATCACTGCTGGGAAGACTGTCCCCAATGTCTTGCCTGGTGGATTGGATCTGATGACCTTCAAGGTATGGCCCCAATTGGTATGTTGCAGAGTTACATATTATTCATCAAAATTTTTCTGGTTATATATGCAATAAACATACGTTGGGTTGGGCACTGGTGGCTTAAGCCTGTAATCCTAGCTACTTAGGAGCTTGAGATCTGATGATCCTGGTTCAATATAGCTGGGGCAGATAAATCTAAGAGATTATTATCTCTAATTAACCAGCAAAAATCCAGAAGTGGAGCTGTGGCTCAAGTGGTACTGTTGATAAGCTATGGGGAAGTAGGTATCCTCCATTTGGGGAGGGCAGTTGCCCAACTTGGGGCAGTTTGGCAAGATCTGTCAACACTATTAATATTAATACCTGTACTCTAGACCAACAATTTCCAGTTCTGGGAATTTTATCCCATAATACCTGCATATATACAGCATTGCCTGTGTATATTCACACCAGCATTGTTTGTAATAGCAAATGATCAGCAGGAGCCTAAATGTTCACCAGTTGAGAGAACTGGTCACTGCCAGCTGTCTATTTTATGACAGAATCAAACAGCTGTAAGAAAGAATAAGAAGTTCTTTGTGTGTTAGTATTGTTACGTAAAACCATTGGTTACAGAAGCACCTGTGAGAAAAGAGGACAAGTGTACATTTGTGTTCACTCGCCCATGCAGAAGCAGTCCTCTCAAGGACAACTAAAGAACTTTTACCTTCATGGGGGTAGGGAAAGGAAACTGAGTGAGAGACTTCTCTGTATACTTCTGATTTGGAGGTATATGAATATATTCACCTATTAAAAAGTAGCTATAGAGGCAATCCATCCTGGATACTAGTCTGAAGGTACTGAGCAAAGGGAGAGACTATAGGTACAAAGCCCTGGGATAGAAGTAGAGAACAGTAAAGGTTTTACCAAGCAGAGGCTAGACTTCAAAGCCTAGAGAGAATTCCTGAGCCTTCTAGCAGGCAGCTGTGGTGATTTTTTTTTTAATTTTTATTTTATTTGTGAACATACTGTACAGAGGAGTTACAATTACATGGGCAGGATAATGCGTACATTTCTTACCAAGCATTGCAGCCTCCTCCTTTGTTTACCCTTCACATCCCTTCCCAGCCTCCCCCCCCCCCCCCAATCCCCAACCCTCCCCCCCCCCCCCTCCCCCCCCCCCCCGCACCGACGTTGTAAAGCTCGTTTTGAACATGACAACTTGTACTTCTCATTGTTGCAACAGGTCCACTTGTATCCTTAAACAACTGGGTTATACTGACATCAAATATAGTGAAAGCAGGGGTTATACTGTGGGGGAGGGACATACAAAGCAACAAAGAGATAATCTTATAAATGCGTTAGAAACACAGCTGTGGTGATTTTTTATGTAACTATGCCCTGAAGGCACCTGGGACAACTAGAAATAGACACTAGCCAAGCAGTCAGAACACACAGATGCAGTTTGGTCTCTTGAGCTTTGGAGAAAAATCAGGACAGATAGCCAGAGAGGAAGTGTAAGCCTGAGTTATTTCTGCATAAGCAGTCCTTGCTCCAGAGAGAAATGGAGGGGCCACAGGAGTCTCCTCTGTTCTCTTCTGCATGAGTCATGCAGCCTCCCGTAGTTCCAGCTCATGAGGCAGGGGCTGGAGGGGCTGGAGTGCAGTCTTAGACTGATGAGCCAGTAATCTGGCAACTCCTTTCCATTCACTTACTCATAGGTACTTGAATGTCCATCTTTGGCCAGGTATTAGCACTAGGAGATGATAGAAGTACAAAGACGAAAACTGTGGTTCTCAGAATTCCTGCTACAAAGGGCTGCTGATGCCAAGGATTGTTTGTATGTCTGCTCTCTAGTAGGCAAGAGGTTCTTTGTTGGGTTTTGTTTTATTTTGTAGTGTTACAGGTAGAATGCAGAACTTGGGCGTGCTGGGAAAGTGATCTATCACTACCCCATGTTCCTAGATGTTCTCTTTTGTTTTGTTTTTGTCAGTCATGGGGCTTAAACTTAGGGCCTGGGTGCTGTCCCTGAGCTTTTCTTCTCATGGCTAACACTATCACTTTGAGCCACAGCTCCATTTCTGGTTTTTAGATGGGTACTTGGAGATAAGCGCCTCATGGACTTTCCTGACTGGGCTGGCTTTGAACTGCTATCCTCAGATTTCAGCCTCCTAAGTAGCTAGGATTTAGGCATGAGCCACCAGCACCTGGCCCAGGTGTTCTTTTTAATTTTTTTTTTTTTTTGTCGGTCATGGGACTTGAACTCTGGGCCTGGGCGCTGTCCCTCAGCTCTTCAGGTCAAGGCGAGCGCTCTACCACTTGAGCTACAGCGCCACTTCCGGTTTTCTGGTGGTTAATTGGAGATAGGAGTCTCACAGTCTTTCCTACCCGGGCTGGCTTTGAACCGCGATCCTCAGATCTCAGCCTCCTGAGTAGCTAGGATTACAGGCATGAGCCACCAGCACCCGGCTAATTTTTTTTTTTTTTACTTATTTGTAAGCTTTAGCAAGGAATTATTTTATTTTATTTATTTATTTTTATCAGTCCTTGAACTCAGGGTCTGAGCACTGTCTCTGAGCTTCTTTTGCTCAAGGCTCGTACTCTACCACTTGAGCCACACCGCCACTTCCGGCTATTTCTGTTTATTTGGTACTGAGGAGTCAAACCCAGGGCTTCATGCATGCTAGCCAAACACTCTACCACTAAGCCATTCCCAGCCCCAAAGGATTTATTTTAGTATGACATGAAAAAAGTAGAGAGAAATATTTCCTGCTCTCTACACAGGAAATGGCTCTTACTACCTAGCCTGGGCTGGCCTCAAACCCATGATCCTTCTGTACAGGGATCACACGCAAGTATCACTATGCTCAGATTACAAGTTGTTTGTTGTTGTTGTTGTTGTTTTTAACTTTTTTGCCTTTCTTTCCTTCCTTCATTCCATTCCTTCTTCCTTCCCTTCCTTCCATCTTCCCTTCCTTGAGATAGGGTTTGCTTGGTAGCCCAGGCTCACCTCAAATTTGTGATCCTCCTGCCTCAGCCTCCTAACTTCTGGGATTATAGTCAGGCACTACCAAGCCCACCTCCGTATGGTTTGGGTGGGCTCACCCACTGTATCATGCCCTTGCCTCATTCCCTCACTATTTCTTCCTCTTGCTCCTGAGGAAATCCTTAAAAAAGCAATCCTGAGTGTCTAGCTTAGTAAATTCTCTGCTTTCCTCAGGGCGGCATTGACATGAGCCGTGTGGCTGTGATGGGACATTCATTTGGAGGGGCCACAGCTATTCTGGCCTTAGCCAAGGAGGCCCAGTTCCGGTGAGTTTCCTCCAATTGATGCTGTTGCCCATCATCCGTCCTGCAAGTTTGTTATAAACACATCGTGTTCTCATCACTATTTGAGAGGCTGGGAATTAGGTTATTATTCCAAGAGAAAACAAATTAAAGAAGCTAGATACCAGATGCTAAATTCTAAATACTAGAATTTAGACCCTAAGCCTAAACTCCAGGAGTTTCACCTCTCAGGTCTGTCCAGCCATGTGAGACTTCCGGAGGCTTCAGCGCACTGAAAGGAAGAACTCCTCCCCTGTCCCAGAATTATTCATGACTAGACTCGTGAGCACTGTTCATGTCTGCCTCTTTCAGGTGTGCTGTGGCCTTGGATGCTTGGATGTTTCCTCTGGAACACGACTTTTACCCAAAGGCCCGGGGCCCTGTGTTCTTCATCAATGCTGAGAAATTCCAGACTGTGGAGAGTGTTAACTTGATGAAGAAGATATGCACTCAGCATGAACAGTCGAGGATCATAACTGTCCTGTGAGTAAGCCCCAACCAGCTCATGACCCCAGCGTCCTTTCCATTTCCCAGCAGCCATGGCTCCCTTCATTCCTTCCAGATTATCCAGAACCTTGCACCTGAATACTTCCTGAATTTCCAAAAATCTTAATTTCATTGGGATTTTATATTTGTCTTTTTTCACTCAGCTCTGTCTATAGTGATTTCTTCAGTAATTAATATGGTTGCATGGTAGGATTAACCTGGGGCTTTCTATTTAAAAAGAAAAGAGTATTGTGAGACGGTGTGTTGGAGAAGTGGTGTGGTGCGGGTCTGGGTGGGTTCTAGAGATCTGAAAATTTTCTCTCTTTTTTTTTTGAAATGTATGGATATAGTAGATGTATAGATCTTTGACATTTATCAGATTTCCAGAACTTTCATGAATCTCTAAACTCATAAATATCAATATAAGATGACTTCTTCCCCAAATCACTTATTTTCTAGCTAACAAAACCACATTCACTTCATCTTCATCATTAGTGATATTGGTTGGATTTATTAATTGATTGATTTTTAAGACAGTGACTATTGCTGGGTGCTGGTGGCTCATGCCTATATTCGTAGCTACTCAGGAAGCTGAGATCTGAGGATTGAGTTCAAAGCCAGCCCTAGCAGGAAAATCTGTGAGACTCTTATCTCCAATTAACCACCAAAAAACTGGAAGTGAAACTCTGTCTCAAAGCGATAGAGAACAACCCTTGAGCAAAAGAGCTCAAGGTTCAAGCTCCACTATCAAGAACAACAACAACAAAAAAGGCAGTGACTATTTAAGAAAACCCCTGTAATTGTGGTAGTATAGAGCTAAAGGCAGAGCTGACTTGCTTTTGTCCTACATAAAGCCTAGCACCACATATGGTATGTGTCCAGTATCCTACTTTCTATTCCAGGAAGACCACTGGTAGTCATGTTCTAGGGGCCTTTGAAATCACTCAGGTCATTGAGCTGCCCAAGCCAAGCTCCTGAATGCCAGAGCCCCAGAGACTATTGATAGTTGGTAACTTTCCTGCTTGCCTATCTTCATCCAGGTTTCCCCATGACCAGCTGTTTCATGGCATCAGAGGGGATAGGGATATTCCTGGGATATTTCTCCAGGCCAGTCAGACATGGACAGTTATGGCCTGCAGAGAAGGGAGGGGAGACTAATTGGGACAGAGGCTATGGATGTAGCATAGTGCCAGAGTGCTTGCTAGCATAAGCAAAGCTCTAGGTTCTATCCATAGTACCACAAGTAAATGAATAAATAAATCAGGGCAGGGAATTTGGCTTCGTGGTAGAGTGCTTGCCTAGCATGCATGAAGTCCTGGGTTCAGTCCTTAGTACCACATAAACAGAAAAAGCTGGAAGTGGGGCTGCGGCTCCCTCAAGTGGTAGAATACTGGCCTTGAGCACAGAGAGGCTCAGGGACAGAGCCCAGGCCCTGAGTTCAAGCCCCAGGACCGGAATGAATGAAGAAGTAAGTAAATAAATAAATAAACAAATAAATAAATCAGTATCTGCATGATAGCAGGAAGATTTTTCTTCCTCCATTGAACTGAGTCATAAATTTAGTTATAAAGTAATTTAGCTCAAAATGAACCTAGTGAAAATTCCACCTGCAAATTAAATGTATTTAAAGGACTGGGGTGTAGCTTAGTGGTACCTGAAGCTAGGTACACAGTACCTAGCATGAGTAAGGCACTAGATTTTGTCCCCAGACCCATAAATGAATGATTGAGTGTATTTAGAGCCTAAGGACTGAACCCAAAATCCTGTTCCTACATGAATTGCCTTTTTAAAAAAATTATTATTTAAGTAAAAGCAATTAATTCCTTTTCCCTATTAACTCTATGGTGAAGTTCTGACAAGAAGTTAATATATTTAATATGTTGTGAATGTTTGGAAGTAACCAGATAAACACCATTGCATAATAGAGTATAATAAGCTGGGTATTGGTGGCTCAGCCTGTAATCCTAACTACTTAGGAAGGAGGCTGAGACCTGGAGGAACACAGTTTAAAGTCAGCCCTGCCCTACCCCCCCCCAAAAAAAAATTATAGACTCTGCTTCTAAAATAACCAGTAAGGGGTAGGAATGTGGCTTAGTGGTTGAGTGCTTGCCTAGCATTCATGAAGCTCTGGGTTCAATTCCTCAGTACCACATAAACAGAAAAGGCTGGAAGTGGTGCTGGCTCAAGTGGTAGAGTACTAGCCTTGAACAAAAAAATGAAGCTTAGGTACAGTGCCCAGACCCTGAGTTCGAGCTCCAGGACTGGCAAAAATAAATAAATAAAATAAAATAACCAGTAAAAGCTGGGCATTGGTGGCTCATGCTTATAATGTTATCTACTCAGGGACTGAGAGCTGAGGATCACAGTTCAAGCCAGCCTGGGCTTTGAAAGTCTAAGAAACTCATCTCTGATTAATCACCAGAAAACTGGAAGTGGAGTTGTGTCTCAAAGTGGTAGAGCACTAGATGAGCAAAAAGAGGTCAAGGACAGTGCTCAGGCCCCACTGATAAAATAAAATAAGCCAAGTGTGGCTCCAATAGTAGGGTACCTGGTCATGTCAACAAGCTGAGCAAGCTCAACGCCCTGAGTTCAAACCCCAGAACTGTCACCTGCTCCCAACAGATTAAAACATAAGAATAGTAAGCACTGAGATCTACCTCCTGTCCTCAGCACTCTACCAAGTTCAGCCCTTTTCCTGCATTGTCTGGCTTATGGTTGTCTAGGGATTAGACCAGTTTTGAAATCAAGCATACCTAGGTTCAAATTATAGCTCTAGGAGCTAAGCAACAGTGGCTCATGTCTGTAATCATGGCTAGTCAGGAGGCTAAGATCTGAGGATCACAATTCAAAGCCAGCTGGGGCAGGAAGTTTTGCAACTCTTATCTTCAATTAGCCACAAACAAGGCAGAAATAGAGCTGTAGCTCAAGTGATAGAACATTATAGACTTGAGCAAAAAAGGCCCTGAGTTCAAGCCCTGTATCAAATACACAGACACACACACACATACACACACACACACACACACACACACACACACACATAACTACAACTACATTCCCTATCACCAGTGTCTTTGGAGAGATCATTTCTTCAGTTTCTATCAGAGGAAAATACTTTCTTGATGAAGTTTCTGGGGAAATTACTGTAATAATGTGTAAAGTATCTGGCACATAGTAGGTACTTGACACTGGGATGCTTACCCTCCAGATTCCTACCCGTTGTTTTTCTTTTCCTCTAGTGGTTCCATTCATCGGAGTCAGACTGACTTTGTTTTTGTGACTGGAAAACTGTTTGGTAAATTCTTCTCCTCTCACACCCGTGGGAGCTTGGACCCCTATGAAGGCCAGGAGATTATGGTGCGGGCCATGCTGGCCTTCCTGCAGAAGCACCTTGGTAAGCTGAGAACTGGGGCCAGTGGGCAGATGTGGGGAACTACTTTCTCCATAGCATGGTGTGGTCTGTCCTGATATGGCTGGGACCCAAAAGATTTATAGCAAGGAAAACCGAATGAAGGACCGTTAAATGGAAGCATAGAAAAAACACGTGCCGGAAAACTTTAGAGATCCTAACTCTAACTTACTAGGTGAATGCCCTTGCCTTCTCATTTGACCTCTCCGAGCCTTGGTTTCCTCACTAGAAACTGAGCGTTCACCTCTGAGCTCCACTGCCTCTGTCCTGACCCACACTTACCATCACTCACCTCATCAGCCTGTCAGGGAAGTTATGATAATTGAGCTAAGTGTACAAGTATACTTTTAAGAAACCATGCATGAACTGGGTATCAGTGGCTCATACCTGTACTCCTAGCTACTAAGGAGGCTGAGATTTAAGGGTCACAGTTCAAAGCCCGTCCAGGCAAGAAAGTCTATAAGACTCTTATCTCAAGTAAACCACCAAAAAGCTGGGAGTAGAGCTGTGGTTCAAGTGGTAGAAGGCTAGCCTTGAGTGAAGAAGCTAAGGGACAGAAGCCAGGCCCTCATTTCAAGCCCCAGTACTGGCAGGAAGAAAAGGGGAGGGGAAGGGAGGGGAGAAGAGCTGAGGACAAGATATTATGGTGTAAGACCATCCTAGACATAAACTTGAGACACCATCTTATTCAATAGCTGGACAACATAATCAGGCAGATCACAGTTCAGATCACCTTGGGAGGGGTGGGGAGGGAGACCAGACCATGCATGGAGTGTGGCTCAAGTGGTAGAACATCTACCTAGCCAGTACAAGGCCCTGAGTTCAGACCCCAGTACCACCAAACAAACTAAAAAAAAAAGAAAAAGAAAAAAACTGATTATGCAAAAATGTCACAAACCATTCAGCAGCTAACCAGCAAGAGTTTTGGAGGTCTCTGGTTGAGCCTTACCCAGAGGAGGTACCCCTGCCTGTCTTCCTAATAATCAATAATCAAGCCAGTTTCTCCAGGGGGAATATGAATGGTTACTGGAGTTGATATTCTACTTAAGTTTTTGGGTTTTTGTTGTTGTTGTTACAAACAGTGGAAGTTCACTAATTTATCGGGGGCAGGTGTGGGGGGATAAAGGAAGCGTGCTTTTGAGAGCGCACCTGGACTGGGTACAGGAGCGCAGTTACAAGAGCCAAGGCCACTTGTTGCAAGTCTGTCTCACAGCTTGTCTTTGGCTCTTCCTCTCGCGACACCCATGGTGCCTGCCTGTTTCCTGCACCGTTCCCCATGTTCTGTGTCCTAGACTTTTTTCTTTATTTCTGCTGTTTAGTGTTTTTTTTTCTCTAATTATGTCTGTTCATTCCGTTTCGCTTCCTTGTAACTTTGCTTGATTTGAAACACTGCTACCTTCTCTCTACCTGACGTTTTTACACCTTTCCTCTAAAGCTCGCACAGCCCATAGCCATATATAGCTGTATCTATAGATAGATATATAGAGATAGATATATTTTTTCCCTTGACTTGTTCCTTAGAGAGATACGTGATTGTCATAGCACATCTTTTCCTGTCAAACACATTGTTGGCCCCTGTGCAGCCTAGGTTTGGAGCTCCCTTGATCAGCTGTCCTCTTTGATGTAGTCAGAATGGAGTGTGTGAGATAAGCCCCTGCAGGGCTGGGCAGAGCACGCTCACATCAGGAAGGGGCCTGGCTTGGACTGCTAGATATGGTCTCGCCAGTGCCTGGCATAGAAGGCTGCTCACCTCTGTGCTCTGCACACTGACTTCTATCCAATCGGCTGGCCATACACGTGCCATACATTTGGGTTGAATTGAATTTGCTTTTAAAATATATCTGCCCTATTATGAATGTGCTGATATTTAGAACCAAATTTGCATTCTTACATTTAGTCCTATTCATTTCATTTTGTACATCGTCTTCCAGTATTTAGAGTCTGCTCACCTGGCAAGGAGGACAATGGGTCCACCTCATAAGACTTGAATGATTCCTGGCTGCCTGATCCTGATCATCCTTTCCTTTTTTCCTCCTAGGTTCTATGCTTCTATAAGGGTTTCAAGTGAAAGATGAGGCTGGGCACAGATGGCCCACACCTGTAATCCTAGCTACACAAGAAGCTGAGATCACAGTTAATCACAGAAAGAGCCGAAAGTGGAGCTGTGGCTCAAGTGGTAGAATACTAGCTTTGAACAAAAGAGCTCAGCAACAGCGCTCAGGCCCCTGAGTTCAAGCCTCAAGACTGACAAAAGAAAAAAGAAAAACAAAAGGAAAGCTCAGGGACTGCTCTTAGGCCATGACTGACAAAAACAAATTAATTAATTAAAATAGAGTAAAATGAAAGATGAGAAGGGAGGCCGGGCGTGATGAAGCAGGTCTATAGTCCTAGCTCCTCATAGGTGATTAACAGGGCTGCAATCAAGGCAGTCTGGGCAAAAAGTTAGCAAGATCCATCTCAACAAAACAAGCTGGGTATGAAGATATGTGTAGGTGGGAGGATAGAAAGATCTGAGGCCAGGCCTGCACAAATGTGAAACCTTATTTGAAAAAAGAAATAACCTAAATCATAAAGTGCTGGGGGCCTGGCTCAAGTAGTAGAACAATTGCCTAGCAAGTGGGAAGCCCTGAGTTCTACCCCAGTAATGCCAAAATAAGAGAAGGGAGAGAGGGAGGGAGGAAGGAAGGAGGAAGAAAGGAAGGAGGGAAGGAAGAAAGAAGAAAGGAGGAAGGAAGGAAGACAGGAAGGAAGAGGAGGAGAAAGATTGGACCTGAGATACTCATTGTGACAGATAAGCAGAAGGACTGTTAGAATGCAGAAGAGATTAGATTGTAGGAAGATTGCCAAAGACTGATTTATTTATACTAGATAATTTATGCTGGCAGTATTTTTCTACTTCGTACTTTAGCTGTATTATCACATGTAATTCCAAAGCCAGCCCTTTTTAGAATGCATTTTTATTTATTAACTCCATTGTACAGATGAAGATACTGAAAAATTAAAGTAATTTGAGCTGGGCAAGAATGACTGGCACCTGTAATACTAGCTACTTAGGAGGTGGAGCTCATGAGGATTACAATTCAAAGCCAGTCCAGACATAAACATATAAATCTCATCCAGTCAACAGCTGTATATGGTGGAATCCACCTGTCACCCCCACTAGTGGGAAGCTGGGGACAGTATATTGTCGTGTGAGGCCAGCCAAGGCATAAACTTGACACCTTATCTCTTTCAATAGCTGGACACTACATAGGAAACATAAACAGGCCGATCACAGTCCAGATCACCTTGGGTATGCATGTGAGACCCTATTTTTAAAAAAAACAAAGGCAATGCCGGGTGCCGGTGGCTCACTCCTGTATAATCCTAGCTTCTCAGGATGGGATCTGAGGACTGCAGTTTGAAGCTAGCCTGGGCAGGAAAGTCCACGAGACTATTCTTTCCAATTAACCACCAGAAAACTGGAAACAGTGCCATGGCTCAAAGCAGTAGAGTGCTAGCCCTGAGCAAAAAGCTCAGAAATAGCACCCAAGCCCTGAATTCAAGCCCCATTACTGACAAAAAGCAAAAAGGCCAAGGCCTGGGGCATGGCTCAGTTTCAGAATGCAAGACCCCTGAGTTCACGCCCAGAGAGAGGGAGAAGGAGAGGGAGGGAAGGAGGGAGGGAGGAAAGAAGGAAGGAAGGAAAGAAGGAAGAAAGGGAGGGAGGGAGGGAAAAGGAAGGGAAGGAGGGAGAGAAGGAAGAGAGGGAGGAAGGAAGGAAAGAAGGAAGGGAGGGAAGGAGGGAGGGGAGGGAAGAACAAAAGAAAAAAAAGAAAGGAAGATTGAGTAATTTGTTAAGGTTTATATGTTTAGTCTTTCTTTTTTTCTTCTTTTCTTTTTTTTCCTTTTTTTTGTTACCTGTCCTAGAGCTTGAACTCAGGGACTAGGTGCTGTCTCTGAGCTTTTGTGCTCAAGGCTAGTGCTCTACCACTTGAGCCATAGCTCCACTTCTGGGTTTTGTTGGTTTTTTTGGAGATAAGATGGTCGTTCCTGCCTGAGCTTGCTTTGAACCATAATCCTCAGATCTCAACTTCCTGAGTAGTTAGGACTGCAGGTATAATCCACTAACACCTAGCTGTTTAGGTAGTTTTTAAGTGGCAAAGCCAAAATGCCACCTAAGCTGTCTGGTTCCAAAGAACCCACACACTTCCTTGTCGCACTGCACTGTTGGTGACTCTGAGGACAATAGAGGAGCAAGCTCATGAGCGTGGCGAACACAGTCTAGAAAGCCCCAGAGGTCAGGCACCTAACTGCTGGGAGGGGAAGAATGGCAGCAAGGGGGCTCCCTGGACAAAGCGATGCTTGCCTTTGGTCTTGACAGGTGAAGAGAGCTCACAAGTAGAGAAAGGCAGAAGTGCAAAGGCCTGGGCACGGCTGGTGCCGGGAAACTGTGCAGTGACTCTGGAGCTTGGGACAGTGAGTTGTTGACAGATAAAGGTGGAGACGTGAGCTAAAGCCCAGGTATTGGCTAAAGTTAGTTTGAATTTAATCCTACAGGCCATGAGGAGCCTGTGGCGCCTTCTAAGCAGGAACATGTAGTGATTGGACTTGTGCTGACCACATGGTTATATGCAGAGGGTGGGCGAATGGGCGGCTTGACAGGAAGAGAGCTCGTAAGTCAGAACAGATATGGCAAAGTCAGAAAAAAAGGCTCTGGGTCTGGACTGCTTCACATTCCAAAGAGGAAAGTAAGTGAGTGAGTGTGAGTGTGTGTGTGTGTGTGTGTGTGTGACAGTAGTCACATGGGAAACTAAAATGGTCCCTGGCACCAGGCTTTGCTAGGGGATGGGAGGGTGAACGAGAGTGGATGTGGGCCAGGTAGTTGATACGCATTGTGTGAAAGGAGAACAATGAAACCTGTTGCAGTTTTAACAAGGAGGAGGGAGGGATAGGGTTAATGATGAGGGGAGGGAGGTTGGGGTACATGATAAGCATGAGGTAAGCATGGAAGCCCCTTTGTATCGCTCATGTATGCTAAAAAAAAAAAAAAATTCTCGAGAGCACGGGAGGATGCGCCTTCCAGTAAGATGGCTGCTTCCTTCCTATTACCTATACACAGCACCGTCTCCACCCCCGGCCTTCATCTTCCTCCTGAGGTCTCCAGCACCTCTTCCCTCTGCCTGCAGAATAACTGCCTCACACTTGGCTGAAAATAGAAGCCCGGCACCTCCTCCGCCCCCATACCACACCTGCCCACCTGCAGAGGGGGCTCGGCAGACCAGCTTCCCTGGTTCCCAGAGCCCCCTTCGGTGCCCTGCCAAGGCTGCGCTCCATTCACACCTTCACATCTACACATTTTCCCTCTCTGCTGCTTCATTTCATGGCAACATTTCTCTTACCTTAAAAACAACAACAAAAACCTCTTGAGGCTGGGTGTGCAGCCCACTGGTAGGGTACTTTCATAGCATGCATGAGGTCCTGGGTTCCATCCCTAGCACAAGGAAAAGGAAGAGAAGGGAGGGAGGGAGAGAGGGATGGACGGAGGGAGGACTGGGAATGTGGATTAGTGGTAGAGTGCTTGTCTAACATGCATGTAGCCCTGGGTTTGATTCCTCAGTAACATATAAACAGAAAAAGCCAGAGGTGGCGCTGTGGCTCAAGTGGTAAAGTGCTAACCTTGAGGAAAAGAAGCTCATGGACAGTCCCTGAGCTTTTTTGTATAAGTCTAGCACTCTACCACTTGAGCCCCAACTCCACTTCCACCTTTTTGGTGGTTAATTGGAAATAAGAGTGTCATGGACTTCCTGCCTGGGCTGGCTTTGAACTTCAACCTTCAGATCTCAGCCTCCTAAGTAGTTAGAGATTACAGGTATGAGCCACCAGTGCCCAGCTCTTAATCACCCTTTTTATTTTTTACTTATTTATTTATTTATTGCTAGTCCTGGGGCTTGAACTCAGGGCCTGGGGAATATTCCTGAGCTTCTTTTCCTCAAGGCTAGCACTCTACCACTTGAGCCACAGCACCACATCCAACTTTTTCTGTGTATGTGGTACTGAGGAATTGAACCCAGGGTTTCATGCCTGTTAGGCAAGCAGTCTACCACTAAGCTACATTCCCAGCCCTTACTGAGTCATTTCGATAGGCCCTGAATAAATAGTAAAGATTTTCACTACTGCTCCCACATCCCAGCCGAGAACCCGCCCTTTTGGTATCCTAGGTGCTCTTCTCTCGGATTATCTGCTGGACCTGTGATAGTTGTGCTTGGACCAAACCTTACAATGACTTTGTTTTTTCCCTGTCAGATCTGAAAGAGGACTATGATCAATGGAACAACCTCATTGAAGGCATTGGACCATCGCTCACTCCAGGGGCCCCACACTACCTTTCTAACATATAGGCACAATTGGCCTTTTCTCAAGCTGAGTTTTCCATTTAGGGGCTGCCAAGGGGCACCCCATAATCTATCAGAAAGTGGTCAGCATGATTGAGAGAATGTAATCACACTGCTGATTGGATAACTAGGTACTTTGATTTGGGGTTTGTTGATCTGAAAATCACATTGGGACATAGATCACTGACTGAAAGTCACATTGGGACATAGATCACTGACTGATTGACAAACTGACTCTCTGGGGCCTGAGCCCCAATGGTGTGGGACCTAAGCAGGGGATTGGGCTGGGGGCAGCCCAGGCCACAAGCTGAACCCTGTGAAGCCAGGATATAAAGACAGACCAGCAAGCCAGCTGTCTCACTTGGACCAATGTTGCCTCTGGGGTACAAGTAGTGAGGTCTTCAGCCCTGCCTGGCATTCTCTCCCTGCTTCTCAACCTTGCCCTTCCCAGAGGGCACTGGTGCTTCATTAGCACTTTAAATAACTTTCTACACTAGGGACTATCATCCATTGCCTGAAACACAGAATTGGTACTCTAATCAGTGCTGTCGGAGGACAGAAAGTATTATTCCCATAACCCAGAGAGAGATGCTAAAGTATACAACAGTTCTTCAGAAGCTCTAGGTGTCTTTGGAGTTTGCCAGAAATTAATCTTGTCAGGAAAAAAAAAATGAGTAGGTTAAGATGGGAGGTAGCGAAACAGTACCAAGTAGCCTTTAGCACAACCAGCCCTTGCCACCAGAGGGCGCTATGCTGGTCGTTTCAAATTCAGAAGACCACAAGCCCACACCTAGGGAGGGCTGGGATCCGCTTGGTCTTGCCTCTTACCTCAAATGTGGTGAATTAACAGCTTGCTCAGAATCAAGGTGCTTTAGTCGGTTGTTTTTTTGTTTTTGTGTTTTGCTCTGAGACACTTACCCCAAATTTTAAGTCCACATACAGATCCAGTTTTTATTCTGTTCCATTTATAATTTGAAGACTATTGATACTCATCTTTGTCTGATGGCATGTTGAAAGAATCTATTTAATCTGCATTGCAGCAAGACAGGGGACCATCTGGAAGTGTTGTTTTTTTCCCTTCTGCATTTCTTTGTTCACTAACCACGTGGGCCTTTGTGGAAAAACCTTTATAAGGAAAGGAAGTCTTAGAGATCTAGTTCCAAGTCATATAGGAAAGCCAGCCTGAAAAGCTCCATCTCCTTTACTCAGCTTCTTGACTATCATCTCAGAACCCAGGAGGCTGAGGCACAAGTTCAAGGTCATTCTGGTTTACATAGCAAGACCATGACAAAAAAAAAAAAAAAGATTTCTCATCTCAGTCTAACGAGAGGAGCCCAGAGGAGACAAATGCTAGAGGGAATACATCTACAATCTACCCAGTAGTACGAGGTCAGGGCTGCTGAAGGGCCTGTAAATCTCTGTGTGATGTAGGGTCTAAAGGATTTCCTTGACGCCCTGGGCTCTGGAATTAGACACCTTAGTTTGACTGCTAACTAGGTAAATCTGAGCAAATTATGTTCTCTTTCCAATCTCAGTTCCTGTATTTCTAAAAATATGAATTGTTACAAGGATTGTGAGAAGATTTGTAATCCATGAGTTATTAAAATATTTTTCCTGCTTTGCAGAAATACGAAGGTTTTCTGGTTGTAGATGTTATTCTCTAAATTAATGGCTTGTGGATAGGGAAAGTGACCAAATGATTTCTTTCCTTCAAGATTCCATGAAGGGCTGGGAAGGTGGCTCAGTGGTAGAGCACTTGCCTTGCATGCTCAAGGCCCTGGGTTTGATTCCTCAGCACCACATAAGCAAAAAGAAAAAAAAGCCAGAAGTGGCACTGGGGCTCAAGTGGTAGAGTGCTAGCTTTGAGCTGAAGAGCTGAGGGACAGCGCCCAGGCCCAGAGTTCGGGCCCCATGACCGGACCCCCCAAAAAAAAATTAAAAAGATTCCATGAAGCCAGGCTTCAGTGGCTCACACCTGTAATCCTAGTTATTCAGGAGGCTGAGACTTGGGGAATCACAGTTTAAAGCCAGTTTGGGCAGAAAAATCTCTTGAGACTCCATCTCTAATTAACCAGCAAAATGCCAGATTGGAGGTGTGGCTCGAGTGATAGCACTGTAACACTTGAGCCACAACTCCACTTCCAGCTTTTTGGTGGTTAATTGGAGATAAGAGTGTCATAGGCCGGGTGCTGGTGGCTCACTCACACATGTAATCCTAGCTACTAAGGAGAATGAGATCTGAGGATCACGGTTCAAAGCCAGCCTAGGCAGAAAAGTCCGTGAGACTGTTAGCTCCAATAAACCACCAGAAAACTGGAACTGGCACTGTGGCTCAAGTGGTAGAGTGCTTACTTTGAACTGAGGGACAGCGCCCAGGCCCATAGTTCAAGCCCCACAACCAAAAAAAAAAAAAGTCCCATAGGTTTTCCTGTCCGGGTTGGCTTGAACTAGCATCCTCAGATCTCGCTTCCTGAGTAGCTAGGATTACAGGCGTGAACCACCAGGGCCCAGCTTGCTCCTGGTTTTTCCTCAGTTGTTTTCTTATTTGTTCTTTCTCCTCCAGCAAAACATGATGTCCAGAATTAAGGTTTTTGTTTTTATTTTGGGGGAGGGGTTTGGGTCCGGTCGTGGGGCCTGAACTCTGGGCCTGGGCGCTGTCCCTCAGCTCTTCAGCTCAAGGCTAGTGCTCTACCACTTGAGCCACAGCGCCATTTCCGGCTTTTTTCTTTTTGCTTATGTGGTACTGAGGAATCGAACCCAGGGCCTCAGGCATGCAAGGCAAGCACTCTACCACTGAGCCACCTTCCCAGCCCCCAGGTTTTTATTTTTATAGACGGGATTGTTACCCATCTGTCTAAGGAAAGGGGCTAATGTTGTGAAGGGTTTAGTGCCGGGACTTCAGTTCTGATTCTCACTGGCTTTTGCAGACAGAGGAAACACATCTCTCAGCTAGAACAGAAAGTAGAAGAGAGCGAACTTCAAGTCCACAGTGCCCTTTTAGGCCGCCCTGCCCCCTTTAGGGATGTCTGCTGTGACTATAGCTGGGTGCTGGTGGCTCACGCTTATAATCCTAGCTACTCAGGAGGCTGAGATCTGAGGAGAATGGTTCAAAGCCAGCCCAGGCAGGAAAGTCCATGAGACTCTAATCTCCACGTAGCCACCAGAAAACTGAAAATGGTGCTGTGGCTCAAAGTAACAGAGCTCTAGCCTTGAGCAAAAGAACTCGGACAGCACCCAGGCCCTGAGTTCAAACCCCACAAACAACAACAACTAAAAAGTCAGGTGCATCCTAACTCCAAGTCTTGGCTTTGTGGGAGCCTTTACCTGCTCCCCTTTTTACTGAGTGCCACTTGCTTCTAAGCAGAGGACAGGAGAGGCCATACTCTGTACTTGGACTCATTGTCACAGCCAGATGCAGTGGCCAAGTGCCCCTGGCCGTAGCCGCATGGCGAAAGGATCATGGTGATGGCAATAATAAGCCTAAGAGCCAACAATTCCTGGGCCCATACGAGCGTCAGGAACGACTCAGCATTCTGCATGAATTATCTCTTTCTGTTCACGGAAACCTCACCAAGTCAGGTGGCATTAGCTTCAGTGGATGGCTGAGAGCGCAGAAGCCTAGACCAGTGATCTCATAACTTCTCAAGAATTTGGCAAAGCTAGGATTTAGGTATCTGTATCCGGGCTCTTGACCATGAGGCATAGTGTATATATACACATTCTAAAAACATTACAGACCCAGGACTGGGGCTCAGTCGTGAGCTCTTGCCTAGAACATTCAGGGCCAGCACCAGTTGGGCACTGGTGGCTCATGCCTGTAATCCTAGCTAGTCAGGAGGCTGAGATCTGAGGATCACGGTTCAAAGCCAATGTGGGCAGCAGACTCCATGAGACTTATCTCCAATAAACCACCAGAAAACCGGAAGTGGCGCTGTAGCTCAAGTGGTAGAGCACATGCCTTGAGTTGAATCGCTGAGGGACAGCACCCAGGCCCAGAGTTCAAGCCCCATAACTGACCCCAAAACATGGCCAGCACCCACAAAATATAAAGTACAGAGAAGGAAGTTCCGTACAGGTTATATGCAAATACTATGCCCCTTGAAAGGGGTTCTGAAACCAATTGTCCCCACCATGTGAACAAACTAAAAGAATGTTATCTGATTATGTAATTTGGGACCTCAATTTTTTTATTTCTATTTTTTTTGGTCAGTGTCAGGGTTTGAACTCTGGGCCTGGGCACTGTCCCTGAGCTCTTCAGCTCAAGGCTAGTGCTCTACCACTTTGAGCCACAACACCACTTTCAGTTTTCTGGTGATTTATTGGAGATAAGAGTCTCACAGACTTTGTTGCCTGGTCTGGCTTTGAGTTGCAATCCTCAGATCTCAGCCTCCTGAGTAGCTAAGATTACAGACATGAGCCACAGGCGCCCAGCTTGGACCTCAATATTTTACAATATTTTACTGGTGCAGGAGTGGTGATTGAACCCAGTCTCCTGCTTGCCAATCAGGCATGCTACCACCTGAGCCCGTCTCCAGCCCCCTTTTCTCTCAGTTCTTTTTTTTTTCTGTTAATTAACACATATTAGTTGCACGGGGTGGGGGTAGGGGGTTATTGTGACAATCCTGTACACACAGTGTATCCTGATCAACCTCACCTCCTCTATTACTGTTACCCTGCTTCTCCTTTGAATAATTTGATTGTTCTGTTTTTATACATGCAAATAACCTACTTCAACCATAGTCATACTAATTAATCCTCTTCATTAGTCCTCCTCCTCCCATGGATCCCACCTTCCTAACAGGCTGTTTTACTTTTCTGTCATTCAGAATTTTGTGTGTGATAACCTGCATGCTTCATTTTTTTGTCAGCTGTGGGGATTGAACTCTGGGCATCTGGGCACTGTCCCATGAGCCACGGTGCCACTTCTGATTTTCTGGTGGTTTATTGGAGATAAGAGTCTCACAGACTTTCCTGACCAGGCTGACTTTGAACCATGATCCTCAGATCTCAGCCTCCTGAGTAGCTAGGATTACAGGCGTAAGCCACTAGCACCTGGCTATCTGCATACTTATTTTCACACTTGTCTTACCTGTCCATGTATGAGCATTATAATTCATGACTGAATGACTTAGTACATCCAACAATTTCTGTGGACTTTGGTGGAATCTCAGCACTATTAAGAAATAGTTTCAGGGGCTAGGAAGGTGGCTCAGTTGTAGAGTGCTTGCCTTGCATGCATGAGGCCCTGGGTTCAACTCCTCAGCACCACATAAGCAGAAAAAGCAAGAAGTGACGCTGTGGCTCAAGTAGTAGAACATTAGCCTTGAGCTGAAGAGAGACAGAAAGAAAGAAAGAAAGAAAGAAAGAAAGAAAGAAAGAAAGAAAGAAAGAAAGAAAGAAAAGAAAGAAAGAAAGAGTAGTTTCAAAGCTGGGCGCCAGTGCCTCCTGCCTGTACTCCTGGAGGCCAAGATATGAAGATAACAGTTCAAAGCCAGCCTAGGCAGGAAAGTCCATGAGCTTCTTATCTCCAGTTAACCATTAAAAACTGGAAGTGGCACTGTGGCTCAAATGGTAGAGCACTCTTGAGCTGAAGAGATGAGAAACAGCATCCAGGCCCAGAGTTCAAGCCCCATGGCCAAAAACAAAATAACAACAAAGAAATAGATTCCAGCAGTATAATACATGACTGAATGACTTAGTATGTCCATCAATTTCTGTATGACCCATATTGGATTTTGGTGGTATCTCAACACTACCAAGCCGGGCGCTGGTGGCTCATGCCTGTAATCCTAGCTACTCAGGAGGCTGAGATGTGAGTATAACAGTTCAAAGCCACCCTGGGCAGCAAAGTCCATGAGACTCCTATCTCCAATTAACCACCAGAAAACTGGAAGTAGTCCTGTGGCTCAAAGTGGTAGAGTGCTAGCCTTCAGCAGAAAGAGCTTAGGGACAGCACCCAGGCCCTGAGTTCAAGCCCCATGACTGGGGAGGGGGGGTGGGGGGAGCAGCTCCAAGCCAGCTACCAATGGCTCTTGCCTGTAATTCCAGCTACTCAGGAGGTGGAGATCTGAGGATTGAGGTTTAAAGCCAGTCAAGGCAGCAAAGTCCTTTAGACTCTTTAACCCCAAAAAAGCCAAAAATGGAGCTGTAGCTCAAGTGATAGGGTACTAAAACAGCACCCAGGCCCTGAATTCAAGTCCTAGTACCAACACACACACACACACACACACACACAATTTGGGCTACCTGCATGTCCCCAATAGAACAGTGCCTACCAAGCAAGAAAAAGACCCTGGGTTCAAACCCAGTACTGCCAAAAGAAAAAAAAGAAAAGTCCATATCTTTGTTGTAGCCCTGCAGGCTCTCTGGACCACCAGCAGGAGTCTACTCTCTCCTATTCTGCTCTTTAAATTTCACACCTAATAGGGCTGGGAAGGTGGCTCAGTGATAGAGTGCTTGCCTTGCATGCATGAGGCCCTGGGTTTGATTCCTCAGCACCACATAAGCAGAAAAAGCCAGAAGTGGCACTGTGGCTCAAGTGGTAGAGTGCTAGCCTTGAGCTGAAGAGCTGAGGGACAGCGCCCAGGCCCAGAGTTCAAGCCCCACAACCAACAACAATAACAACAAAAAGAGTTTAAGTCCCGATCTCAGCCAAAAAAAAAAAATTCAACATTCCAATATCCAAATGGCATAATGATATTCTGTTGTATCAACTCCCCTCACAGACACACCCATGCAACACACACCCATGCACGCACATTTGTGCTCTTAGCAGTTCTTATCGCCAGATTACTTGAAGTACTTTCTAGCTTTAGCTGCACTATACATTTCTTTTATAGATGGATAGAATGTCTTTTATTGTTCAGGTATAGGAGCTGAAGATTGGAGAAATAAGTTAACTTGTCAAGCAAGTCACACTGCTTTTAATGACAGAGCCAGGAATGGGACCAGGTCCCAGACACCCTGAGCCTTGGCCTCCTGTTCTTCTTACTCTGCCACCTAGCTCCTACTCACTGGAGACCTGCAGTCAGTCATGGCCTTCTTGCCTTCTCCAGGCTAAATGGTTCAGAGCTCTGGCTGTGTGCTCTGACCATCTCCCCTCCCTCTCTTTCATCATCCTGGAAGTCCCTCATCAATCCAGTATAATTGGAGCAGTGTCCCTGACATCCCTCCCCCCCCCCGGGAAATGGATGCAGACAATGACTAATGTTTGGAGACCTGGCTTCATCTCTCGGCGCCTCTGCATCTCTGTGGGTTGTTCTGTGGTCCTATGGGGATGGAAATCCTGCCTGACTTAGACACATCCCTCTTTCCTACTTAAAACACTGACTTCTCCACAGCAATCAGAACAGTAGAACTTAAAAAGGCACATAAGAGCCAGGCACTGGTGCTCACACCTATAACCCTAGCTATTTAGGAGGCTGAGATCTGAGAATCACAGTTTGAAGCTAGCCTTGGCAGTAAAGTGCATGAGGCTCTTATTTATTGCCAATAAACTACCCCCAAAAAGCC